TGATAGAATGATAAGAAAACCAGCAGCCTCTTCAAAAGCTTCAGGAGCAAATATACAGAGAGCAGCTAGACACCCCCTGAGATAAAAATCTGCTTGTGATGTTGGCTGTAAATAATGAATGGTGGTTTCCATATTTTCATATTGGCCACCTGGGTGCCTGTGGTGCCCAAGGCAAGTCACCAACTTCAGCTCACAAATTCATAATCTCTTCCTCTATGTGTTTACCTTACAAAGAAACAAATAAAAGTTTTCATGTTCCTTTATTTTCATATGAGATTTTTCTTATTCAGTATTGGGTGGGTATGTATGTGCGTGTGTTTGAGTGTAAGCATGGAAGTAGAATGCAGTTCATTTGGAAACAACATTTGAGTTTGTTGTCTTCTGTATAGATGAAATTTTATCCATGCCCTCAAAGAACACAACACAGTTGGGAAGATAAGACCCATATGTGTGTCAGCTGATCTTTCAGATCCATTAGGCTGTGGCTTAAATGTTATGCAGGCTCATCAGGAAGATTTCATATAAGTGCCCTATGTCAGAGATAGTAAATCCGCTGCTCACTGCCTTGGTACAGACAGATGGGAGATTAATCTCTTTAGCAGAAATATAACCAGACTATGTCACTTATAAATTATTAAAAGTTGTCTCAGTATATGGAATTTGTAGGCCTTGAAAATACTCCTATAAACATTAAATTGATAGCTTAAAAAATTTGCAATCACAGCATGTGTTAGCAAAAAGATGAAAGCCATTCACTTCAAAATTTTCTTAAGAATAAAAGCCAAAAACTATATTGTCCCTAACAACAACAACAAAAAAACCCCTTCCAAGTAAATATTATGCCTCATGACTCAAGAGAATTATAAGTGAAAACACAGAAATGCAGATATCTAAAAGATTTTATTAGTATGTATGTAAGGAAAAATTTTCCCAATGCTAGAAGACATCCTCCCCCAATTAAGTTGGCAAGAGGTACCATGTCATCTATAGGTTGGAAGGCACTGATGCATTTTGGCAGATTTCACAGGAGGAAGAAAATGCCAGGTGGATGACCTTTATGTTCTCTGTGGGAGATGCTGCTTTGTAAAGTTACCAATATCCATCTATGAGATCTTTCAGGGAAGCTACAAAGTATCTCAGAGGATAACTGACATGGGGCTAAACATGACTTGGGACGGAAACTGTTGTTATCTGTGTTTGCCTAGTGAGCATGACAGAGGACATTCATGTTTGCGACACAGTTGGTGTTTCTGAATGATTCTGTTGGTCAGTGCAGTGTTAAATCAAGCTTAGAAAACAGAAAACCTAAACAGGTAGAGATGAAATGCACACAAGCACAAAGTGACTATACTTATAGCTAAAACCCCACACACTCAGGAAAATGTTCACCCATTCTTAGACATATTACTAGGAGCAAGTGTATCTTCTGAGCATCAGAGTAGTGTTTCAGCATAACTGTTTCATAATTGTAGGACAGTCCTTGTTTTCTGATAATAGCAGCGACAATGATAGGAGCAGTAGCAGCCAGCACTCTCTGAATGATGACTGTGCACCTGGTGCTTCTCTGAGCATGCTGCATGTCACCTCTGTGGAGCACTCTGCATTGGTAGGTGTTACTACTCTTAACTTAAAGACACAGAACCTAAAAGTCTCAATAATGATCAAAAAAAGCCATTGTTGTCAACATGAACGCAGAGAGGCTGGTGATAAGCACCCCATGCTCAGATGTGGCAGTTCGCTTGACGTACTCCTCCAGGAGAAGGGCTCCGTGAACACTTTCACTCCCCAAAGAACTTTCTAACTCAGGTACTCTCCCAGATTTTAGGCAAATTCAGGCTCAGATTTGGGACAAAGTTTGCTGACAGGCACGCTCCTAAACTCATAATCAATGCCACTGTGGGCAGGGGAGTCCTTCAGATCTAGCCCGTCTGGATACCAGTTACCATCTTCAGAGAGCAGGGAAGGTTTATGATGAGACAGCCTCGGATAAACAATGCTGCTGCTGTTGATATGTGTGCTCAAGTCAACTTTGGTGTGAAAATGCAAGTCCACAAAAGTGGGTTTGGTTTAAAGATGCTGGTTTTCAAAACCAATGGAATGTTTTCTGAGTTCTGATATGTGAACAAGGACAAGGCTTCTCTACTCTGGCTGCACACCTGAGAATCACCTGAGAGTTTAAAAAAATAGAAAAAGCAGGTGTATAAGCCCCATCTCAGACCAATAAAACCAAGACTTCTGGATGTGTGGAGGTTGAGGATTTTAAAAAAATTCCCCAGGTGACGCAACATGTAACTAGGATCAAGAACCCCATCTCAGACCAGGGTGTTAGCAAAAAGATAGTCTAGACCAGGAGTCCTCAAATTTTTAAAACAGGGGGCCAGTTCACTGTCCCTCAGACCATTGGAGGGCCAGACTGAGGGCCCCCGGACGAGTCGGCTGCTAAGCAGGACAGGCAGCGGTGGCATAAAACACCCGGCCGGCCGGATAAATGTCCTAGGCAGGCTGCATGTGGCCTGTGGGCCATAGTTTGACGACGGCTGGTCTAGACTATTGAAATTCCCCCTTGAGTGCATGCGATGGAAGTCTCAGAACTGGGGCATAGCTGTTAAAATCTCCAAAAACTGAACAGCCAAGTGGCACACAGTGTGGCAGATAAAGCAGGAAGTATATGTGGTAAGACCACTTCTCTGCAAAGGTTCTGTGTCTCCTAACTCACCAGTCCAAGATAGTCATTTTGAATAAATAAACACCATTTTTAGTGCAGGGAGCCTATCAAGAATATGAGGATACTCGGAGAAAACAGGATTCATGTGAAGACCAAATATGATTTAAAATTCAGGAGCACTTCTTTACCTCTGAGTAGTCCCAAGAATGAGCTATGACAGAGAGAGAGAGAGAGAGAGAAAAGAGAGAGACCTGTAGTAATCAAAAGTAATGGTAGGTTTACCTAAGGAGTCTAAAACACACAAACTGCTTCTTGGTAGCCATCAAAGATCAGCTGCGAATTTAAGTTCTATCCTCTCCTCTAGCTCTGCTGTTGGGCCTCCAACTACATTTAGGGTTTAGATGCTATGTAAGCTTTTTGAGGGTGACAGTGCCTATAGATGGTCCCAGGATGTCTTTGCAAGATTTCAACTATCTGATTCTCTTGAACCTTCATTTAAAAGAGTAATAGTTCACAGTCTACGTAATTTTCAAGAAATTTGAGAAGATACCTAAGCTCAAATCACAAACTTAACTGTATCCAAAAAAAAAAAAAAAAAAAAGAAGAAGGAACATCCACAAAACAAAAACATTTAAAACGACTAAAGAAATTAGGGATTAACACAAAACGGAGGTTTACATAGTTTTCAGATGACTGCAACCAATGCCAGCTAGGAACGTAGGTGTGGGATGGAGTCAGATCTGCCTCTGCAGCCTCTGGATGCAGACGTCGGTCCTGAAGGGTCCTCTCTACAGACAGTGGGGGTCATCTTTCTCGGTCCCGACAGACTGTGAAGTGCTTCCGCACATGTCCCCTGCTCTAGAAGAGTGGTTAAATGAGAGACTCGGCACGCTGGAGAAGCCAGCTAGAAACACATTTCTCCAGGTCTTGCCTAGAAAAGAAGCAAATGAGAGGGTATTAGGAGAAAAGAATATTGTACCCTCTTTCCCCAAAGCCAGCGCAAGCAAGGAGCAAACCTGAGGCAAAACTGAAAGCCCCCCCCCCCCGTACACATAGTGGGTCTCGATATCCGAACTTCTGTGCCCATTGTGGGAAAACCTGAGATTCAGAGCCCATTCGGAATGGACACTTCCTGCGAAGTTAAATACCGGCAGGGCGATGGTCTGGATCAGTTGCGGCTCTGTTCTTGTAATGCCATTGACTAGGGTGCGGACACAGCAGAACGCCAGACCCAGAAACCTAGTCAAGCCCACGGCTGCTCTCCTGCGAGGCTGTGCATTTACCCTCGGGTCCTAAACGACTCCCTGGGTTTGGGCAAGCTCGGGCCTCACGAGGGGACACGATGTAGGGTCATACAACCAGAGCTACAGAAGCGCGCAAGCCAGCGGGCGCGGGAGCGAGCAGCGGCGGGCGGGGATCCGGAGGGGCTGTTGAGCACGCGCAGCCCCCTCCCCAGCCCTCCTCCCTGCAGAGTGCAGGCTCGCCCCCCGCGCCCGTGCACGCGCCCACTTCCAGAGCGGCGCAGGGGCGGGCTCCGCGAGAGCCGGCCCCGGAGCCGCAGCCCCATTGGCTCGGGGACACGCCCGTCCCCGGTAAGGGGTTCGAAAGTTTCAGTGAAGGTGGAGAAGTGCGCGCCCGCCGGGAAGCCCCGGCTGCGGCGCTTGGGCGAGGCTTCCTCGCGGCGGGCCGGGACACCGGACGGTGTTTGGTGTTTCGCTCCTGTTTCCAATTGAGGCGGTGAAGGAGCGAGTTGGAGCCCGACCCTCTCGTGCTACGCTTTCGCCTCCATTCTTGCCCCCAGCTCACGACTCCTTAAGTGGGGAGGGACTGGCAGCGCCGCCCACGGACCGACACCAGCCGCGCGGGATCGGGGATGCTTCTTTACGCCCGGCGGCTCCCGCCCGGGTCTCTCCGGCCAGAATCTGGGGGACGCAGAGGCTGAGCCGCGTCGCCGCTGGAGGAACGGCACTGGGCCGGGGGCTGTAAGGCGAGCCTCGGGGCCAGGGGCGGCGCTCGGAGCCTGAGTGTGCAGAGGAGCCGTGGCCGGGCAGCTGGGACACGTTGGCGGCAGGCGAGGTTCCGCGCAGAAAACTCCTGGCCGCCCCTGACGGCGCCCTCGTCTCCCGCTTTCCTCCTCGCGCCGCCTCCCAGGACCCTCCCAAAGGGTACCTCTCCAGGGCCCCAGCTCCAGCTGCACTGTAGGAGCCGCCGCCGCGACCGGATTCGGAACCCCACGCTTCATGAGCCAGCCCCAGGGGCGCCTGGCTAGTTGGCTGCCAAGAGCCTGGTGAAGGGCTGCCTGGAGCCCGGCGGCAAACGGAGGCCGAGAGCCCAGGGAGCGCGCCCTCGGGACGGAGAGCGCGGCGGCGCCGCGGCGATGCCTAGGCGTCTGCGAGCTGCCGGCGGCAAGAGGCCCTAGGCGGGCATGGGCCTGGCGTCCCAGAAGCCCTGGTGACCCTCGAGCGACCCCCTCTGCTCGGACGCGCCGGACCGACGCAATGGCCTCGGAAGTGGTGTGCGGACTCGTCTTCAGACTGTTGCTCCCCAGCTGTCTGGCAGTAGGTGAGTCTGGTGCGTTCACTGCGGTCGCTTGGGGAGCGCGAGGGGTCAGCCAGGCGGGGAATTCCTAGCAAAGTTAAGGGCTCTAATACTCTGGGTTCGGTCCAGGACGCCGGTTCCCTGGTCCGGGTGCCAGCAGAGTAAGCCGCGCGCTGACTCTGTGCCACAGCCGGGCTCTCTCACTTCCCGCTCTGGGGAGCACCCCCGGGGTCCAGGTGTCCGGGATTAGCGTGTGCTGGAGACTGGACACCCCGATCCCAGAGTCACAGATGGGTTTTCTTTCGCGGATTACTGACTTGTGCACAGAGAATGCCAGTCTGGATTAGAAGGCGGTTGTACTCCCTTCGTAGGCGGAGTACAGGATCCCACTAGAATCCACCGCCCCATTGTCCCCAGACGCGGGGCGCACAGCCTATCCAGGCGGCACTGAGGCCACTTCTTTCCTACCCCATATTCCAGCAGCCTTGAAGGAAGAAGTGAAAGAGTCCAGTTCTAACAAGAAAAGGAGGGGCAGGATACTGGGAAACAAGCCTTTAAATTTCTTGCTTTTATTTAGCAACACAAAAGGGACTGCTGAAATGCTGGCTGCTGAAACTACAGACCCACCGAGACCCAGTCCCGCCCTCTCCAGATATTTAAACGGTTGGAGAGGTTGGAATTCCTTGGGACTGGCGAAGCTTCTGGGAGGGCCCCAAGGAAGCCTCATTGACACTCTTGAGGGAGGGTCGCCTCATCTACAGACCCAGCAGATCGTGAAAAGCAATTGTGAGTAGCGTTCTCTGAGGGACAGTGTGTGCGACATTGACCCGCACTTAACAAGAACAACCAGCCGACGCGCTGAGCCTTCCCTCTCCGCCACTCGAGCTAGAAAATTACTTTTAACCAAGTAGCAATTGCATTTACAAAGAGAGGATGGCCTTCTCAGAAAAGGCCAACTTTTTGCATGTCGCCAGAAGTCGACAAGTCGACGAGTTGAGGTCACACCTGTGCTACTTTATTTGCGCGAAGTGACAGGGGACTGTAGCGGGTTTGGTGCGGGTCACTGCCAGCTACTGGGAGGATTTTCCTAACAGGCTTACTGAAAACAGGGTCCAGGAGGGTTCCGCTCCAGGAACCTCCGCAGAGAAGCTGAGAAGACTCGCCGAGGGGAAGCAAGCTGTGGCCAAGTGCGTCCTGGGGCGCTAGGAGGGGCCCGCGTGCACCGCAGCTTGTCGCTCTACTATGCATCTGGAATAACCAGGCAGGACTGTTTTGCAGGGATCTTTGTCCTTGTCACTCGCATGAATGAGCAGCGCAGCTTCTACCCGCATTTTGGAAAGCAACTTGGGGAAGACTTTCTTTGGGTGCCTTACACACAGGTGGTGTCCTTGTTCAGGGATTGTCTCTGTAGCTGGAGCGCCTCATGTTGTGCCAGGCAAATCCACTGTTTGCAGATTAGTAGTTACTGCCCCAGTTAACAAGGGGCTTTCAGCATGAGTGGCAACTTGTGGTAGTAGGTGCTGGACCTAGGGAGTGGCACTAGGCCAGAAGCCACTCTCCTCCCTCAGCAGCCCTTCCATTCCACCTCACCTCCTCTGCTGTCCCTCTCTTTCTCCATCTCCCCTCTTCCTTTTCTGTAGGGTAGCCCCTCTCTGTGACTTTTGGAAGAATTAGGCAGGTGGTCCCCTGCAGCCCACTAGGTCCACTCTGTGATTTGCATTAGGAGCTCAGTGAAATGATAGCAGGGATTAACCTGCTAAGTGCCTGCCACCTCGCCCTGAGCTCAGACATTGGCAGGATTCAACACAGCCTACCCCCATGTCTCCTGCCCTGCGGCCCTTTGGGTGGGGCCATGGTCTTGCTGCTAGCCTTGTTCTACCCTAGGAAGCCCTGCAGTGGGACTGCACTGCTCTCTTCTCCAGGGGGAATCTAGCCAGGAGCTGCCCTCCTAGGTAGCAGGGGCAAAGGGAATGAGGCACCAAAAAGAGGTCAGGGTGTGGGGGCAGAGTGGGAGAGCAAGGGTGGCTCCCCAGAGGTCAGGTCCAGGCGTGGCTCCCCCACCCCTACCCAGACCCAGCTTCTTCCACTGCATCCACTGTAGCCTCAGCAGTGTCTGCTTTTGTGGGTTTGGGCTTGGGAGGTTGAAAAGAGCTGGGTTTCTGGGGCTCCAGGAGAGGAGCGCTGGCTGCCCTCACCTGTTTTGTCACTTCAGGGACAGCTGAGTGCCCAGAGGTTTCTCGGCTACCTTCTCTGACCAAGTCTCTCTTTCCAACTCACCTCCCATGGGACTCCTGTACCTCTGGGGGCTGACCAGGGTGTGTGACAGTGTGTGTTGGTGAGTGTGTATGTATGTGAGTGGTGTGAGCATGTGAGAGAGTGTTATGAGTATGAGTGGGGGGGTGTGTGGTGGAAAACCTGGGGGGCAAGCAGAGGAGGTGGATGCCCGCCCGCTGGGAGAGAGCAGAGCTCCTGGCTCTTGGACTTGGCACCAATTGACCTCTCACATGTTGGCTGCTGCCTAGAAAAGGTAACACACATCTTGGAAGATTAATGAAGATTAACCATGCCTTCTAATTGCTGTATTTACAGAGACCAAAGAAGGCTGGGTACATTATTTTAGTGCCTTATTTTGAGCGTTTGCCACTCTTCCATAGAAAGTGGAGATTTTCAGGGTTACTCAGGGTTTTCAGGTCTGCTGACTCCCAAGGTGCTACTAAGTCAAATATTCAGGTTTCCCCCAACATCTTGGACATGGAGAATGCAGTGGTCTGTTTGCTCTTAGAATTGCTTTTACATTTTAGCCAACTGGTTTTATATGTGGAAAAGGAAGCCTTCAAAGCCAAGCCTTTGCAGAAACTTACATATTTTTCCTTTAAACCCATTTCTCTATCACTGATGATGAAGCTTTTCTGCATGAAGATGCCCTAGTCTTTTCACCTCATGAATGGATGTTAAAAACTAACTTCCATTGTGTTTAATACGATGTTTAAGGTTTTGTTTTTCTCTAGAATAAATTTAAAGGAAAATGAAGTAAAATTAGACCTCTTCAATATAGGTGTTGTATGATTCTTGAACATTAAAAACAAAACAAAGCCATAACAGAATATGTTATTTACCAAGTAAAATGCACCTCTAGTAACAGATATGGCCATATTCATAGTGACTGAAAATGTTAAATATCTTTAAAAATATTGGAATATTGGTGACTACTTGATAACCATCTGATATTTTTCTTACACATAATATATGAAAAAAATGGGTAAAAATATTCCATAATATTATAGTGAGGTTTTTGTTGTTGTTGTTTTGAGTTTTTTAGTGAGATAGGATCTCATTCTGCTGCCCAGGGTAGAATGCAGTGGTATCATCATAGCTCCCTACAACCTCAAACTCCTGTACTGGAGTGACTCTCCTGTTCTCCTGCCTCAGCCTCCCTAATAGCTGGGATATAGGTGTTTGCCTGTACACCTGGCTAATTATTGTATTTTTTGTAGAGACAGGGTCTCAGTATGTTGTTCAGGCTATTCTTAAACTCCTGGCCTCAAGTGATCTCCTGCCTCAGCTTCCCAAAATGCTAGGATTGTAGACATGAGTAACCATGCCCAGTCCTATATCAGAATCTTTAATAATTATAATAGTAACTGATAATTATTGAAGATTTTACAAATATTTTTACATTTATCTTCTTTTAACATAATGTTACTGTACCACCCATTTCTAGGGATATGATTTGAGTTAATTCCAGGGGCAGGAAGGGACTGGTGTGTTTTTATTTGCTTCCCTGACCCATTCATTCCATCTCACCTAATCTTTCCTAGAAAAGCCTACTTACCCATTTTCAGGGAGAGGGGAGAGGTGAGAGGAAGCCTGGCTGGGGCAGGACAGAGTGAGAACAGAAGAGGCAGAGACTATGGCTTGTAGTTCCCCTAAAAGAAGTAACCAGATCTTAGGAAAGTGCAGAGCAGAAAAGAAGTCTGATTTTTCCACAAAGACACATCACCCAACTATCCATTGATTGCTCTGAGAAAAAACATTGGGATTCCAGAAAGAATCTCTAAAATTCCCTTTAGAGATAGTTGGATTAGAGTCTAAGTAAAAATACAGGATCACTTTTGAAATAATTTTCACTTCATAGCATAAAATATTTTTCCCTATGTAACATATATCATTTTGAAATCACACTTATATGTGTACACACAGTCCAGGAATGACAATGAATGAAGCTAATTTTTCTCAGTGTTGGTGCCCTCTGTAGCTGGGAAAGATTCACGGAAAGCATTTAATGAAGTATCTTTCTAAATTTATAGTTCCATTCTAAAATAAAATATTTTATAAACACAGATAGGCATCAGCACTTTGTTGGATGAGTCGTGGGGGCTGGAGCTGTGTGTCTATGCTGTTGTTTTGTAAATGGGTTGGTTTTAGGCAATGCACCTTTGTTCATTGTCAGAGATAAGCAGATTGCTTTGAAGGTCTCCTTTAGGGGAGGATGGTGTTGCCATTTGGCAATTTAAGAGGCTCCCATTTACGTCCTGGCTCTGCCCTTCACTGTGTACTTGTAGAGTCATTTTACTTGTTTGCTTCTCTTTTCCTTCTGTAAAATGGCAACATTCCTACCTCCCTGAGCACTGTGAGTTTATGTGCACAGCACACCCTGGACAACACCTGACATGCTGCAGGTGCTGCATTGCCTTTCTGAAGGTGAGCAGAGAGCAGGGATGCTCAGGGAAAATGTTAGTGGATGTTAACAGACTAACAGGTAGTAGCAAGGACCAAGAGGAGGCTAATCTGAGTGTGTGGGATTCCTAGAAAGGCAATTTAGTGCTCTCCTAGAGCCAAATTATGTGAGAGTTGGTATATATGTGGCGGGAGGGTTTTTAATTATCAGGATTTTTCTCACTGGTTTTACTTGATATTCTACATATCTGAAGTTGTGTTCTTCTAATTTAATAATATGTTCTACCTGTAGCAATAGCATATTGCTATTGATATTGTTTACTTTTGTCTTCGTAACATTGCAGTAT